TTTCTTGTTATATTAGAAGGAAATGCCATTTTCAGTTGCTGTTTACACCCCTCTGTGTTGCATCAGAAATTCTGCAGTTTCATAGGTGATGTAAGGTGTTGAGTGGTCCCTCTTTTTGTGAGTGAAATAGGGGGCATGACAGGCCCGTAGCCAGGGGGGTTCGGGGGGTTCGAAAGAACCACCCCTTTTGCTGGGAAAAGGTCCATTCTGGGTAAATTTTGATCTATGTACATGAATATTTTATGGAAAAAGCTCCACTTTTTCAGAAAAAGAACCCCCCTCTTGAAATTGCTGGCTACGGGCCTGCATTAGAATAGGTATATACATGTATCAGATTATATCCAATTTTCTTTTTGTTCATCACTAAGATAGAGTATGCAACATGTTTGATATTATCATAGTTCAATGATTGCCTTTCCCATTGAATGTTAGGACTAGTTCTAGAATTTTCTACATCAAATATGTTACACCACTGTTCAACCATTTTGACTTGTGATTTGTTATTTTCCAGTGTAGAAGATGACCACCATCAAGCACATCCTACAGCGGGAGGTGTTCCTGCCCACTGACGAGAGGCTGCTGGGAGTGGTCAGTGTGACCAAAGCTGGAAAGAAAAAGAAAACTAGCTTTCTAAGCATTGCAGGTGAGTAATCACTATCAAAGTACTTAGAATGTTTATTGGAATTTTTGGTTGTTTTTTTTTTTCAAGTGATAAAATGTTTTTTTGAAGGCAATCCAAAGTATTCAAAGATATTATAGAAGTATTTGTATATAAAAGTAAATAAGAAATGCATTCTCATATTGTCAAAACTTGATTCATTCCAATTCTTTTTTTAGTGACGACAGAGAAACCTGTGCAAGTGAAGATTTATCAGCTGAAAAAGTCAGAGAAAGGAGAGACTTATAAAAGAAAACAGACATGGGAACTAAGAGAACTTAAAACAGTAGATGGAAAAGATGCAAAGAATGTAAGATATCTAGTAGTTAATTTCTGGTTTGGTGAAAACCATAGTCATATGACATGTAGTTATAAGTTTTGAATAATTTTCTTATAGTAAAAGGAACAAAATTCTCTGTGTTGGAACCCATTCTCTTCTCAGGTCCCTAAAATTTGAACTGGCTGAATTTTTTTTATTTGTCCATTTTGAATGCTTTTCGTTTCCATTCCAGGACACTGCTGAGTTTGATCTTCAGTTTGAGAAGACATACAAATGGGTTGCTAGCCATCCAAGGGAGAGAGACACATTCCTGTCATCTTTGTGGAAAGTATGTTTGATGCAATTTATGAATGTTTACTGTTTGAGTACATTTTGAAAGTAATATTTTGTCTGTCTACAGGTAAAATTATTTACTACATGGAGTGACTGTACCAAAAGTATTTCAGACACTTTTAAACATTAAATGATATGTTTCAGCTGTGTCAGAGGTATCTGAAGCGTGGACCTGTGTTTGTCAATGTGCCAGACTACATAAGGGAAGGTTAGTACCAAAACACACACTTTCTCACTCACACACACACACACACGCACACTCACATGCATGCACACACACATCTCTTTAGTCATTAGGTGTAGATTAGCACATGGGTCCTTGCTTGCTTTGTTATCATATTATTAAAGAATCTTTAATAGTGCATTTTTATGCCTAAAACATGATAAGACTGTAAGACTTTTAATCATAATGTGATCTACAAATGTTTAATTTAAAACTTTTGAAAACTTAATTGGCTGAAAGATCTAGATTGGTCAGTTATTAGTTGCAATAAAACATTAATTATTAAGGAAAAAGAGTGGTGAGCTCTGTCAAAATTTGGAGAATCTGGGGCCAGCAGTTTTCTGTCTATATCTTTATTATTGTTATTTCAGACAGTCTTGGTGTCACAGATGTCCGTCCCCATGGGGTAGAGGACACTATAGCCGCTGTGGTGGATGAGGATTACCAGGCTATTACTGAGAAGGAAGAAAAAGACCTGGAGACACTGATGAAGCAGTGTGAACATGCCATAAGCAATGCAGAGGCTTTTGCTGAACAGCTGTCAAAAGATTTGTCTGTGTTAGATGGGGTGAGGGTGAAATGCTTTCTGTCATTGGTATGCTTGTTTAAATTTAAAGATAAGTAAAATGGTTAGGTGGATAGACTATTTAGTTTACAAGTCAAGTATAGAGTAGTTTTCCCTTTTTGTATGCTATGCAAATCCTTTTGATGGGTCCTCTGTGACCAATTGAATGTGAATTAAATATTTGTTACCCTGTAAACAGCTTGCCAACTCTGTATTGAAGAGAAAGTCACTCGAGGCTGGATGCACTGCACCCCTTTGCTACAGTTAGGACTATTGTATTATTTGGGTTTGAACTAGCTGCATTTCTGATATCCTCTTTAAAACACACTCATATCTAAAAAATACAAATCATAGTAAGATGATTGTCAATTGAAACTTCAAGTCACCATATGACGTCTTTCAGGCCAACATCCACTCCATCATGGGTTCAGAAGATCAGGTGGTTCAGTTGATGAAATTACTGGATGATGGAGTCCGGGAAACAACCAAACTGGAGACCAAGCTCAATAGATATGATGAGTTGTTGGCTGTAGGTTTTTCATCAACATGCACTGGTCATGCATACATATATCTAAACATTATTTTGTTAAAGGCAGATTTTTTAGAAATATTTGTCTCATTTCTGGTATTTCGCTTTAAAAACAAATTTAAATTTATTTTCAGATGATACTATTAGACATCTTACTAACTGATGGACTTCTCAGTTATCTGTGCCATAGGCAGTGACTGGCATTATTTTAATATTGGCTTTACAACAGATTATATATAGATAGATAATACTTTATATAGGTGCAAAGATTTTATGTCTGTATTTGCACTGTAGTAGATGTTACAGTTGATGATAACATTTTCCTTATTTATTATTATATTTCCTGTATTTTAGAGTGTGAAGGAACAGATGGAAAGCATGAGGGACAAGGACACTCTGATCCATATCCAGAACAAGAATCATCAATCTTTGATTGACGAACTGGAAAATTTGATTGTAAGTGGTCAATAAGAACTGTTGGGGTTATTTTGTGTTGATGTAGGTATGGTGAAAATGTGTTTGAAAAAGGACAATTGATACAAGGCATATGTAAGGGGTACTTGCAAAAATTATTTGGAAAGAAGTGAGTAAGGGTCTAAAAAATTGGTTGTCAAATACTTGTCTATGACAAGTGATCCTTGCAAATAAAATTCTTGACCAGCCAATGTAATCTCTTATGGAATTATCTGCTGCAGTTAATGAATTTAATTATTGAAAATTAGCTGTTAAATGCTGCCTTTATGAAACAGACTGTTGGTCATCAGTTGGTTATTGAATAATGTGATATTTTTCTTTTTCATAAACCATTTTGTGCTAGTCCTATATAGTCAAAATGCAGGATTACAGGGGTCTTTTTACCAAGCTAAGACCTTCTGTATAAATTATTTTCAGGGAAGGCTGAACCTGGACCACAAGCATGAGAAGGCACTGCTAGATGGGGATCTGTCCACACCATCTGGGATTTATGAGAGCACAGAGGCTGCTGAAGAGCTACAGAAGTGCATGGCAGCAGAAATACATCCTGGTATGTGTACCGGCCACCATATTGGTCTGGCTCATGACAGACATACTTGTTTAAGCCAAATAATTTTTTTTGTCCAATTTATGTTTATATTGATACAGAAAGATTGAATATTTTCAAATAGAGTTTATAAAACATCAAATGCCCAAATAATTTAGATATTTGCATAAATTGTTCTATGCTAGAGGGAGTTTAGAATGTAATTTTTGTCAAGAGTCCCAAAATATTTGAATGTACTGCTTCTTACCAAAACACATTCTTCATATTTTGGCCTAGATAAATTGTGGTTCAATTCACAGATGTATCAGCTCCTAGGGCTAAGTGCATATTGTTATATTCCAAAATGACATCTTTAATTAATATCATCAAAGTTCTTGATTTGACAGACATTGTTAATCATAAACATTTTTATTGTTAACTTTCAGTTCAATAGTTTTAATTGTCAATATTTTTTTGAATTATTTGCGCAATATTTAATTTTTAGCTTTAATGAAGATGCAAGCAGTTCAAGAACAACAAAAAAGGTTTGGAAAATACAGAGTTGCTTTTGCCAAGAGACTTTCCCATCACCTGAACAACCTATTTATACACCAGGTAACCTTCTTGTCATAAAGTAGATGATCTTTATATCAAAAACATATTGTTTTAGTATATTATAAATCTGTAATTATTGGAAAAAGTCATGTTATGTCCATCACATTTTGCATATCTTGCATAACACTTCTGTAGAACTACATAATACATATACACCATTTGTAAAACTTTATTTTACATAATTTTTTGTGTTTTAGACAGATTTTAATCAATGATTACCAAAGAAGTGGTTGTATTTTACCATTATATTTAGTAGAATATAAGAATATTTCCTGTACATTCATTCCAGAGTTCATATCCATGCATTAGTTTTTCAAACATTTATTTAGGGTAATGAGATGAGTGAGACATTGAGCAGACATGCCACAGATCTGAAGCTTCCACCACACCATTCCTGTCACCGAGATTTGACGCCATATGCTGAACTCATGATGTGGCTGAAGGAGGCTGATCCACAAAGTTTTCAGCAGCTGGCCAAGGTATGGTGGCTGGGTCTCATAAATGAGAAAAATTGTTGGAAAATTGTGAAAATATTATTCTGTTGATATATGTAGCTGGAAAATGACCAATAGCAATTTTTGTTTTGAGGTGAAGTTGGCCTTTTTCTGGTGTTCTGGTCCATATAAAAAGAAGCTTGATCATAAGAATTGTTGATTAACTTTTTGTGGCATCTGTGAAAAATTAGAGCAAGGTCAGTTTGGCGAAGGTCTGTTCTGCTGCAATTACAAAATCAGATAATTGAAAATGGGATGGTTAAAAAAAAATACTGTCTCGCATTTTTGTGTATTGATGGTACAGTTTTTTTAGAAATGATATTATCAATGCCCTGTCTTTGGAAATAAAACACAATATTTATTCAATGTAATGGCCATTACTTCATCTTCATGAACAGGTCTACACCAACAATCTCAGCAGATTGTATGACAAGGAAGTAAAAGATTTCTTTGAGCTGGCTAAACAAAGATTTTTACATGCCAAAACTGTCGACAAGAAGCATGGAGGTGAGTAGGTTGTTAAGCTCTCAGTATGGTTTATTTATTCCTTTATTATTTTTATTTTTGAAACTAATGTTCTGTAAACACTATTGATTGCCATATCTTAGGGTATTGTGGCAAATGGAAAAAAAAAGATGTACCTTTAATTTTGTGTTTTCCAAGATGAAATGTGGATGATGCCAGTTTATGGTAATTGGTAAGTTGACATACTTAACTGATGAAATTTATGAAATGAAAATTTTGAAAAAAAAGTGTACTAAGGTGATTGTTGTTTGATTATTTCCATCCCCAGGTCTCACAGTTCCAAGTCATAGATTTGAGGGTTCAGGTTCTAGCTTGGACAGGGCAATGGAAACCAGCCCAAGAGGAAGAACTGCGTCCCTTCAGAGCCTGGACTCTGCTGATTCCAAGGGGTCATCTCAGGACCTCACACGAGGAAAGTTTGACCAGGTCAGTTAAGTCCACTGTTAATATCTGTCACATGAAACTCTTGTAGAGGGTTAGTGCTTTCATGGCCTTTCAAGAAGCCTACCTTTTATTTGCTGATGCATTCTCTTTTGGCATTTATAATCTGAAATTTCTTTTTAAAGCTACTGGAAATTTACCAAATGATGCGATTGTCATGATAATCATTAGCTAATAATAATGGCTTTGTGAAGCAAACCCCGGTTTGATGCTTTCAGTAGAGGCCCCAACAGTGTTGACTATTAGAGCAGCTTCAGCTTGCTGTCCAAGTAATCAAAATGAGAACACTTTTGTGGCTTTCCCAGCATAAATCCTGAGTTGGCCACATTGCTGAAAATTAAAAACCAAAATAAATATTTGAAAAAAATTTTTTTTTCAAAATGAAATATCCTACGTACTTTGTAAAATTTTACTTAGATTATGTGAATTAGACCATAGCTTTTTTTTATACATTATACATGCATGGTATGGTAAAATGTTTTAATTTCAGGTATTTGAGAAGATACTTTGTGAACTGGAACCATTTTGTCTAGCTGAGCAAGATTTTTGTGTCAAGTTTTTCCACCTGACTCTTGATCCTCATTCTGATGATCTGGAGTCAATGCTGGTAAGTGATGTCAAGAAAATGTGTTCTAAACTAGTTACAGGGGACAATATGAACAGTGGTTAATTTTTACTTAATTCAGCCATGTGATGTAACTTTTATAAACTTCTATTTTTCAGATATGATTTTTTCTGTTAACCCCAAAAACCAGTGCAATTTTAAACACCATTTGAAATGTTTTTTTCAATCTGTCATTAGTGTCAGATATTATTTTGAATTTACATCTTATATTTATTTTCATCTGAAACCCTTTATGTACACTTAATTGTTTCAAGAGGAAACTGCTTCTTGGTTTGCAGGAAGACCAAACTTCAAAGCACGAGGACACTCACTCCGTTCATTCCCACAGTTCCCAGCATGATGATGACGACATATGGGTGATGAGGCCGCAAAACAAGGCCAAAAGTCTGGCAGAGTAAGTCTCTACATCAAATGTAATATGTAAGCCAATAAATGTTTGGTATGCTGGTTTGTGTATTATATCATATTGATTTGATTTAACTTTTGGGGCATGTTTTATGTGTAATGGTAAAGATAAGGTTGTAAAGATTATAAGTGTGATTACTAAATTTGTGTTATTGGATTTTGACAGCATGATTTGGCAAATGTGATGGTATTTTGTTGAAATTTATTTGAAGGTGGATAAGAATTCTTTGGGTGATCTCTAAGATTGCAGGGAGTTAGTTATGATTTGTTGAACAAAATTTCTTTGAAATTCTTTATATTACGTAGTCTAGTGCTACATTTCTCTTGAAAAGTGACATCAGCAGTTATGAAAATTTGGCCTCATTGTTCTCTAAACCCTTTGTTGTATTCCCTCCATTTGCTTAAACCCAGCTTCTTTTAGTACATTTTAAGTTCAATGTGCCCATTATCTGCATTTTAAAATCATTAGAAATATTTTGCATTAAAAACTGCATGTTTTGCTGCAGCATGGATCCTTATTCAGAAAACCAAGTTCCAGTGAGGTTTGTGTGTTGTAAACAAATTCTTTTTTAATTCCACATGTTTCTGTTTTGCACCTCTCAGAGTAGTGTGTGCATCTTTTTGACATTTAACAAAACTGTGTCTACTAGCCACTGCTATTACTACTACAGAAACCATTGCTGTAATGCAATGCTGGTGACTTCACTGCTACAACAGGCATTTGAATCACCCTGTATTCAGTGTATGAGCACTGAAGGCAACATGACTGTGTTGGAATTGTTTTGGCTGTTTTAAAGGTGACATTGTATGATACGAGGCAGGGCTTTGAAAATGATATATGTGAGCTTGCAGTTTCATTAATATAAAATAAAAGTTTTGTACTTGAAAAACTTGTAAAAGCTTGTGTGGTGCATGTACAGGTACATACAAAAACATCAAAAATAGGTACGTGCATGTGTCGATGCAGATAAGCTGCAAATATATATGCACAGGTAATGAACCAATCTTTTGAATGGGCAAAAATTATCAGTTTTTCAGATACATTATTTGGGAATCATTAATAATTGTATTTCTGTATCACATTTTGGTGCTTTCACTGTATAGAACTGTAGGAAAGTCTGCTTTTCAGTTACCAGTACCAGTATCAAGTACAAATGTTCCAGTTTATTTATTTATTTATTTTTTTTACTTCAAAAATCATCTGACAGTGTAAAATTCACCATTTTTCTCATTGAAAAGATTGAGTCATTACATTTGAACATGCAGGCACTAATACACATATGTACAAATGCATGTGCAGTACTGCTCACACTTACAAAGACACAAAAATGCAATTGTGCAGCCCCAGTTATTTTATTAAAACTATTTTGGAAGTTTTTTATTAAAAAATATAATCAAGTGAAAAATTGGAATTCAAGAAGAACATATATCATAATTAAAATGCCCTCTTTCCATCTGCAATGTTTTTGTAACAAAGGCCTTTAAATGCTGTTAATATACTTATGCCTGTAAACTGTCTTGATATAACTTTTGACTGTGAAATTCAACACATAAATTTCCCAGTCTAATCCTTGCTTTTTCTTAACCCTTTTATGACTTGTTATTATAGTAACTGATTGTTGTTGTTGTTTTCTAACAATTTTAACACCATCTTTTACAGTTTTAAGAGTTTTTAAAATCACTTCACTTTTTTACAGATTTTTGTTGAATTTTCTTACTTACATATCTTCTGCATATGTTTATATTAGTGACGGCTAAAAGACAGAAGCCAAGAAGTTTATTTTTTCAGTTTTTATATTTTTAAATTAACGTTACTATATTACAGCAGTACTCTTAAGTTAAGAACTCAGTTGAAATAGTCCAATATATATGTAATTTCTTGATTCATATAAACACATTTGCATAAATACACAGGTTTATATTTATATATAAAAAATGGTACTTATTTTTAGAAAGTTCATTGATCCTTATAAAATTCAATATGTATTTTCAAGAATATGAAATCAAATAGATTAATTCTCATAGTCCTTTCAGTATTACTTTATGAAACGTCGCATGTGGTATTTATGATCTTTTTGCATGTTATATTTTCTTTTTTATGGTTTAGGAGACAGTTGAATGAAGAAGTCAGGTGAGATTCCCTCAACATGGTTCCCATACTTTCATATATAAAACAAATATATTTACTAACTTCTACACAACATTCTGTTAACAGATTTCACTGAAGGTAAGACATTTGAATACTCTTGGCAGTGTAAATTTGCCTGGCTGTATTTACACATGACATTGCCTATCTGCTTACTTATATGACACCTGCATCATAACTCCAGAATTTTAATTGATATAATCCTGAAATAGTTGAAGATTTTTTTTTCTTTTATTTTTCTTACATCTTTATTTATCTGTTACCCTATAATACAGACCCTTGTTAAATGGAACAAAAAGTGACAGGGCTAATATCATATTTGGTACTTCATTTTTTTTTACATCAAAGTGTAAGTGGCAAAGTGATGGCGGATGTATTGGACTTTGTTTGGATTGAACTCACAGAATTGTAGGTTGTTTTCATGGGTTTGGTTGTAGTTAGGTTTGGAGATTTATCTTAGTTTTGAAACTGTTTGGTACAGTGGCATGCACCATTCTGTGTGTAGATGGATGTCCATTTGGAGTGCAGTGACAGTGACAGAGTATTATAGGATGGGAGTGTATATTAGAAACGATAAACACATTTTGATATATATATTTTTACAAGAGCTTGTGATTGATGATTGTATTTAAATGAATGAAAATGTTACAGAAAATAAGACATTTATTTTTTTCTTGCAGGCGGATGATGGGTGAACTGTTCCCCTCCCTTGAATCAGAATTACTGAATTTTATCACTTTTGGAGATAAATTGGATAGTTTGTAAGTCATGTCAGTCATCTTATTTGTGCTTTGTATTTTTAAAGTATTTTCATGTTCAACAAGTCAAAAAAAATCAAAAGATGAAGCATTTATTTGGATGCACATTTGACATCACATGTACATAAACTGCTAGTTTTTTTTTTATCAATGAAACCTATTGTAATAGTAAAGATTGTCTGAAACTGGCTTCACATGAGGCTGGAGAGTGGAATTAAAAGAGAAAAACTGATATGAGATAAGAACTGTGTATATTGTTCAACAGCTTTTGGCAACGCGCATTGTATCTGAACTTACTTAACATGTTCATTGTCTGACAATGATAAATTGTGAAAAGACAGAGAAAAAGTTGATGATCCTTTCGTTATTTTACCTATGAATATTAAATTATGCAAGTTATTTCATTTTAGGGAATACCCAACTGATTATGCAAACATGTATGAATAATTAATGTTAAAAGATTACTGTGAACAATCATGTTTATCTGTTGCAGTAATTCCATGTATATGTTGGTCCGTATGAGCCAACATGTCATCCATGCCCAGGATGCTGGTTCCTTCCTGAGCAAAGTGTTTGCCAATGTTCTGGTCAATATTAAAAGAAACTTTGATAGATTCATTGTAAGTATTCATTATTTATTTTGCAGGCATTTATTATTTTGATTTCTTATCTCGGTTGATATATATAACTTATTAAGCAAAATTTTCATCTCACCATAGTGAATAGAGTGTGAACTAAAGATTTTAGTTGTCTGAAAATTGCAATATGAACAAGGCTCTAAAAAATCAAACTGCTTAAGTAAAAGAAAAATTTCTTCATGGTTGGCTTACATGTAAGACTATTGATCAAAAGTTCAGCTTAAAACTTAAAGGGATCTCCGGCATCCTTAGGTGTATTTTCTTGGTTGTCAAAATAAACAGCCAATTTCAGTAGGATTTAATTTACCTCTTGGTCATCAGATTTACTTCTTGGTCATCAGAAATGGTGTAGAAATAAAAGAAATTTTGAAGTTATTCTTCAATTCTAATTCTCTCCCTCAGTTTCAATTTTTATATATATCGCAAATTACATTTTTTAAGTAATGATTTTTAATATTGCATGGTTCTGAAATGTGTGACATTATTCCTATTGTGTATTTTAAATGTTCATTATTTTCATGTCTTAGTTACACAGAATCAAAGCTGTGGAGGAATATAGGATTTCCAAGAAGAATAAATGTGGTGTTGTGATGTTTGTACACCACTTTGAGGTAAGGGCTTACTGTAAGGCNACTTATGTCTTACCAAATAAGGATGGAAATATGTTAAAACAGAGAGAAATGGAAAAAAAAATCTACAAATTTTAAAAACATTATTCATTTTCCACTTCATTCCCTCAAACTTATAATTAGGTAATTGTTTATTATCTCACACTTAGGCTTCGTTCACATGGAAAGTCTATTTTCTAAAAATCTATTTTCTATTCGCGGTATATCTTGTGATCACGGTCTGTGTCCTGAATGTCCCGCAGCGTAATTACTGGCAGCGCGAGCCAGTTACTTATAGTAACTTATAGTAACTTATAGTAACTGGCTCGCGCTGCCAGTAATTACGCTGCGGGACATTCAGGACACAGACCGTGATCACAAGATATACCGCGAATAGAAAATAGATTTTTAGAAAATAGACTTTCCATGTGAACGAAGCCTAAGTGTGAGATAATAAACAATTACCTAATTATAAGTTTGAGGGAATGAAGTGGAAAATGAATAATGTTTTTAAAATTTGTAGATTTTTTTTTCCATTTCTCTCTGTTTTAACATATTTCCATCCTTATTTGGTAAGACATAAGTAATTTTTTTCTAACTTTGAAAATTTGCATCCATTCCCATGACCATATGTTTGAAGTTGGAACTTATCATAGTTATTTATTTATTTATTTATTTATTTATTTGTTCAGGATTTTGCCCACCAGGCAGAGGCTATATTCCAAGGTTCAGACAGGAGAGCAGACCTTGATAAAGCTTACAGCAAACTCATCAGAACTGTCTTTGAGCAGCTTCTAAGAATTAGCACAGATCACCCCAAGACTCCTAAAGATGTGGTCCTAATGGGTAAGAAAACAGGGCATTGCTTTTTGGTTCTTTGTGAATTTGAATTATGTTACCTTTAACAGGTCAAAGCAGTCTTGAAACAGTCTATGAACATTTGCCTCAATGGATAAAGTATTGAAAAATAATTAATTTTAATTTCAAGGCAATAAATACCGCATATTAATAATAATATTAGTAATATTAAATATACCTGTTCTTGCTCATAATTTATTAGTTTAATATAAATTTATAATTTTATTTGATATTAATGTTTTAGAATAAGCTTTTAGCATACATCAGTTTAAAATTATTTTATCTTCAGAAAATTATCACCATTTGTACGCCACGTTATCCCAGTTAAAGATCAGCTGTTTGGAAAAAGAACGTAAAGATGCCAGACAGAGGTACCAAGAGCACCTGCAGGCCTATGTGACGACTTACTTGGGAAGACCCTTGGAGAAACTCAATGTAGGAAGACAGAGAGTGAAATGAAATATATTTTAAAACTTAATTTTGTTAAAAACTATTTTTGTAAATCAGATTATTTTGTTCAGGTTCATAAAAGAAAATTTATGATTTTATTTTATGGGCGATTTTTACAGAATGTAGAAAAGCGGGAATATCAAGATGACTTCATTTCGTTAGCTCTGTGTTGTACTTGATTTCATTACTTCAGAATAGTTACATGATTTTATTCAGGTGTTAAATTAACAAGTAAGACTATCAAGTTGTGTGCCCCTCTTTTTCGCCCCATATCAAGTTGTGTGCCCCTCTTTTTCACCCAATACAAGACATAATTGTTAATAATATTTGTTTTGAAATACAGTGAGTGATGCTCAGACACTCTGTGTTTGCAGACATTTTTTGAAGGTATTGAGAGCAAGGTGGCCTCAGGAGTAAAGGAAGATGAAGTCGGGTACCAGCTGGCCTACAGCAAACAAGAACTGAGAAAAGTCATCAAAGAATATCCTGGAAAAGAGGTAAGGGATAGAGGGTTGTCCTTTTAGCATACAGGACATATTTTATGTAGCCGTGACAGAGGGTTTTTAATTTTGTGAAAAATCACAATATCTTATTGGGATATAAAGTGTGAAAAGGAATCTACATCTATAATAGATGGCAATAATATCAGGTAAAAAATTGTTAGGTTTGGACTTTTCCTGCTCGGCGTGTGCCAACTTGGATATTTCAGCCAGTTGCGCTGAGTGTAAATTTTACTTTTTTAGGTGAAGAAGAATTTGGAACATTTGAGAAAGAAGGTTGAAAAGCACTTATGTGAAGAAGAGAACTTATTTCAGGTAAATTTTTTTGACATAATTGAAAATTTATTGTTAAATATAATGGATTATAAACAGGCCAGTTGTGGAAAAAAACTATCAATCAGTTCAAAATTATAGTCAAGTACCTAGAAAAGGTCATTCATATAAAAAAATTAACATTTTTTGTCCTCATTAAGAATAATCACATTAATGTTTTTTTCAATCCAGGTTGTATGGCATTCAATGCAGGATGAGTTTCTAAAGCAGTACAAACATTTTGAACACCTGATTGCCAAGTGTTACCCAGCGTCTAACATCACCCTGGAGTTTAGTGTGGAAGACATTCTGCAGTTCTTCACAGATATTGCACAGGCTTAGATATATGAACACACGTCTTATCATCATTAATAGAAGTATGTTGGTTATGCCAGGTTTTTATTGTTCATTGTTGACAATACACTGCAGTTTTCTTTGCTAAGACATTGAACAGGTTTAGTCACTTCAGAAGACTGAAGATATTATACAGAAACTAGCCTTTGAATGAACAGTGTATTCATACCCACGAACATACTTGGAGAAATTTCAAATTTTGGGAAACACTTTTAAGTTCACAACAATTGGAAATTTATACACAGTGTGCACATTTGTAGCAGATCAACAACTAGGTGACATTCTTGCCACCAAGAGTTGACAGATGGTTAAAATATCTTATGTAAGAGCATTTCCTGTCAAATATTACTCCAGCTTCAGGACTATTTACTTTCTGCAAACTCTCTTGTGTAAAAGCCCAGCTTTCAGTCTTAGGCAACTTGATTTAAATCATCACAAACTGAAGATCTACATGTACATGTATCGGTGTCTTATCATGCAATTATGATAATAACAATGGTGCTATGTTTTGCTGCATGTGTCCATTTCAACACATGGTTGAAATTGAAAATTTAAAGAGCATTTTAAATGATCATAAAATATCTATGTAGTACAATGAATATGTATTGCTGTAAAACGTGAAGTCATTGGTTAAATAAAGAAATTGATGCAAAATGAAATTCCTAGTCTAATTCATAAATTGTTGAGTTTTTTTTAAAGCACTTTAGTCTCTCATTTTTTGGAAATGTGAAGGGCTGAGTGAGAGAGTGACATAATGCATCAGTCGTATTGTTTGTCATGTCAAAAAAAAAACTTCTACAATAATTATATGGCAATTATTAAAGTTATCAACAAATAAATGTGAAACATAAAATGACTATCATTGGTACATCATATGAATTGGGCAAGTACTTAATGAACATGCTTCCATGAGGGCCATATCTTAAAACACAATTGTTTACTTTTAGATTAATTACTAATATCATTATTATTATATATCACTATACACTTCAATAAGTTATCAGTTGCATTTTATGCTGAGTTGATAAATTAAGAGAAAATGAAGCACTTAAGGCTACAACTGTACAAGCTGCCTTCTTTCCTTAATTATTTATATATTAAATATCCTTACCATTTAACAGAAAGATTAGAACATGAATATCCAATTTAATTTTCAAAACACGGGTTTTGACAAATGAAGCACTATTCTCCTCCATCATTTTAAATCAACATTTTTCGCCTACTATTCCATAGTAAGGGTAATAAATAACAGACAAAATTATCAGCCTTAACTCTTCAGTTTATGTGGATATTGCCTCTTTATCATCAGTAAGCAAAGAACCCGCTAAAAATGGCATGAAGGGAAGAGTACATGTATCTATATCTTCAAGATAACTGATTTAAGATTCAGTGATTGAAGAAAAAAACTATGTATCCTGTCCCTGAAAACTGTTACTCCTACTCGGCAGCTGTGGAGAGCTGAAACTGATATCTGCTGCTGTGAAGCGACTGTTTGGAGTCGATACATGTCCAGCAGTAAATGCCTTGGCTGGTGCTGATTGGCTGAGAAAGTCCAATCTTCTAGCTCTTGATGGACTGGGCCACCTAAAGTGAGAGAGACAAACCATGGCATGATAAACATTTATGCATTTTTTTGAGCTGAAGACTTCTCAAACACCAGTGCACTGCTTCACGTGAAGAGATCACAATCGCTGACCCAATTATGTATAAATCTACACCCCCCCCCCAAAAAAAACAAAAAAAACACACACACGTCAAGATTACCTTTCTTTCACATCATCATCAAATGACTGCACAAGTTTCTTCCACTTTAGTACATGTGGAAAGTCTCTTCTCTTTATCACAGCATTTTGAATAGCCCTGTAAACATCCATGTCTTCCTTTGTTGGACGAACTCTAAAAATACAAGAAAAATGGTGATCATAAAATGCAGCTTTTACAAATACTGCACTCCTTAGTCAAAATCACTTCTCTCAAAAAGTGTAATGATTTTTTTTTTCAATTTATTTTTGATAACAAGTAATTGAAAAGTAATCCAAGCATTGCAATGACAGAATATGACATCAGCAACTCTTCACTTAGAGAACTGTGAATGTACACACATGAACAAGCAGACCTGAATTACCACTTAGAATAAAATCCTGTGGGAATCCCCAAAAGAAACATCTCTGGTTAGACAGAAACTTCAATTTAATGTTGACCATACTAGGAAAAAATTTGAATAAGAACATTTAAAGACATGAAGGAAGACCGAAAGATACTAACCCATGTATAAAAACAGGTCTTGCAGCACTGTATAAATCAGGAGAGTCACTATCACTATCTGATCGGTCCAAATCCTCCACATCCTCTTCGACGTTCCTTTCTCCATCCTCAACATTATTATCTGGAGGTGGTGGTGCAGACTTTCTCCTCAAAAATCCGGGGACAGGGATATAACTAGTCATGCTCCACAAAGCACCAAAAAGTTTAGAAACCTTTGATGGATTGGAAGGAGAAACCTGACCACTTTCTGAAATCTCAGTTGTTGCGAAAGACTCTCCTCTTGCTTCATTTTTACTAGCTACTGTGATCTTTGATTCATCTTTCAAGTTTTCCTTCTCCTCTAAATTTGTAAATATAGATTTGGAATCATTTGAGCTGGTTATTTTCACAGCGGGTGACGCTGAAAAATTATTTTGAGTAGAATATCTTCCAGAGTTATCAGAGCTATTACTCAAGTCCAAGTTTATTCTGGAAAATTTCTCAGTCATAGAGTTCAGAGCCCTTTCATACTCTGCTGAATCATTGAGAACGTGTTTAGATTTCCCTTTACCCATGTCACCATCAACAACATCCATTTCATTTTTCAAGTCTTGTTTATCAGCTGCAAATAGATTGACACTTATTCCATCAAGATCTGGTCTTGCACTTCGATCAACCAAACCATCTCGCTGTAGGGATTTACTACCAACAGGCGACCACAGTGCAGAGGAGTCATTTAAACTCATCTCACTGGTCAGTTCCATCAAGGCATCAACATCATCTGGTATTTGCTCGGATTTCTTGCTAAGATACTCCTCTAGCAATCTTAAGCCTTCTGGTGAAGAAATATTCACATTCTTATCAAGGAAATTCCAATATTCAGTCCATGGTACTCCAAGCTCTATAGCTAGGTCTCTAAAATGCCAAACAAATGTCATTTATTGGGTTTTTTTCGAAATCAAAATGGTAAAACTATCCATCTAAATGGTAAAACTATCCATCTAAAGTGAACTAAAACCATTTTATGTAAGATCTTATTGAAAAATACATTGAAAATCTTTGTCTACCATAATTTTTGTTCTTCAAAATATCAAAATATTTTGTACAATACCGGGTAGTCCCACAATAATATGAAGATGCATTAATTATCTTACAACTAAGTGTATCTAGCTGTGGGCGAGGCTCTTAGAGACACACTTGTCAAGTGAAAAAATCTACAAACAGTACCGCTTTACATTTAATGAAGAATGAATTCTAATAATAACTACTTTTTGTAGAAAAATTGAAATTTGGCACCTCCCAATTCTTTCCATTCCCTTATCACCATCACCCCGCTTAATCTGAAAATATTTCTTCCTTCCACCTGATGAAGGGGTGCTCCATTTTCTTCTAAAAAGTTCTGCCTAAATTAAAGAAAAATCTTCAATATATACTATAAACAACAGTAACACTGCAAAACAAAAAAATGACTATGAACTCAATGAATAGTGTGTAATTTTTTTTTATTACTCATAACTAATTAAGATATTTACTTTCCCAACAGATTCTAACCATAGTCTTATAGATAACCTGACCCAACTTAATATTATNCTGTATAAATCAGGAGAGTCACTATCACTATCTGATCGGTCCAAATCCTTCACATCCTCTTCCTCCTCGACAGTCCTTTCTCCATCCTCAACAATATCATCTGGAGGTGGTGGTGGTGGTGCAGACTTTCTCCTCAAAAATCCGGGGACAGGGATATAACTAGTCATGCTCCACAAAGCACCAAAAAGTTTAGAAACTTTTGATGGATTGGAAAGAGAAACCTGACCACTTTCCGAAATCTCAGTCGTTGCGAAAGACACTCCTCTTGCTTCATTTTTACTAGCTACTGTGATCTTTGATTCATCTTTCAAGTTTTCCTTCTCCTCTAGATTTGTAAATTTAGATAGGGAATCATTTGAGCTGGTTATTTTCACAGCAGGTGACGCTGAAAGATTATTTTGAGTAGAATATCTTCCAGAGTTATCAGAGCTATTACTCAAGTCCAAGTTTATTCTGGAAAATTTCTCAGTCATAGAGTTTAGAGCCCTTTCATACTCTGCTGAATCATTGAGAATGTGTTTAGATTTCCCTTTACTCATGTCACCATCAACAACATCCATTTCATTTTTGAAGTCTTGTTTATCAGCTGCAAATAGATTGACACTTATTCCATCAAGATCTGGTCTTGCATTTCGATCAACAAAACCATCTCGTTGTATGGATTTACTACCAACAGGTGACCACAGTGCAGGGGATTCATTTAAACTCATCTCACTGGTCAGTTCCATCAAGGCATCAACATCATCTGGTATTTGCTGGGATTTCTTGATAAGATACTCCTCTAACAATCTTAAGCCTTCTGGTGAAGAAATATTCACATTCTTATCAAGGAAATTCCAATATTCAGTCCATGGCACTCCAAGCTCTATAGCTAGGTCTCTGAAATGCCAAACAAATGTCACTTATTGATTTTTTTCAAAGAGGTTCAATCAAAATGGTAAAACTATCCATCTAAAGTGAACTAAAACCATTTTATGTAAGATCTTATTGAAAAATACATTGAAAATCTTTGTCTACCATAATTTTTGTTCTTCAAAATATCAAAATATTTTGTACAATACCGGGTAGTCCCACAATAATATGAAGATGCATTAATTATCTTACAACTAAGTGTATCTAGCTGTGGGCGAGGCTCTTAGAGACACACTTGTCAAGTGAAAAAATCTACAAACAGTACCGCTTAACATTTAATGAAGAATGAATTCTAATAATAACTACTTTTTGTAGAAAAATTGAAATTTGGCACCTCCCAATTCTTTCCATTCCCTTATCACCATCACCCCGCTTAATCTGAAAATATTTCTTCCTTCCACCTGATGAAGGGGTGCTCCATTTTCTTCTAAAAAGTTCTGCCTAAATTAAAGAAAAATCTTCAATATATACTATAAACAACAGTAACACTGCAAAACAAAAAAATGACTATGAACTCAATGAATAGTGTGTAATTTTTTTTTATTACTCATAACTAATTAAGATATTTACTTTCCCAACAGATTCTAACCATAGTCTTATAGATAACCTGACCCAACTTAATATTATAATATTTAGTATACAATTTTCCCCAAGGTGTTCCAGACCTGCACACTTACATACATAGTTATGCACCAATTGAGCTACACAAAAACACATTTAAATCTGTATTAGAAAATAATTCTGCGGTGAATTTGACTCAAAATTTAATTTTGTTTATATTATTTGCATAAAGAACCAAAAAGGCATCCTGACCAACATCCAATTTGATTCAACTGTTCATTATAACCATGGGCGAATCCAGAGATATTTTCTGACAGTCTTCTACATTATCTTTGTTGATACATCCTCCATTTTTTGAGCATCTTCCAACAGAAAAAAATGAGGTACTTATCTATGTAAACTTAGAAATCTGACAGTCTTCCGGAAGACCCAGAAGACCGCCTCAATCCGCCCCTGAAAACCTACAACAGAAACTGTTCTTTTAAAGATGAAAAACCACATAACACCACCCAGATTCATACCTTGTTTGACAACATAGGTCCAGCATAGGCCTTGACTTCCAGCTTAGGATCTCTGGGACTGCCATGTCTGCCATGTTCAGGTGTGCCAGGAACATGGACAAAGTCAGTGTGGTCAGGTGACCAGGGTTCACCAATGGTTGGTGGCAAGGTGTTGTCTGCAGAGCGCAGGAGAGGGACATAATAATGATCTGGAAAGATAAAATTTTGTTTATAAGATTCCTTTTAAGAAATTTAAGATAACAGGGATACACCAGTATTGCTTCAATATCAAATAATAAATGTGGCCTTGATGTAACATTTGAAGATTAACACAATGTTATTAATCTTTTAATGTTGATTTTGTTTCAATATAATTATCAAATCATTTTCAATTTCATTACCATATATCAGGAGAATAAAGAGGTGATAGAGGTTGGAGAAAGAGGGAAGCATGGAGTTTATCATTAAAAAATAAAGATTGTATTTTAAGTAATGAAATAATTCTCTTACCTTGCAGTAATTCCTCAATTTTTGCTCTAGCTTCCTTTTCTTTTGATTTATCTTTTATTCTCGAGCATACCACCTATGATGATACAGAAAAAAAGACCCTATGTGAGAGCAAAAAATAAGTCAAAAAAATTACAACAGCCAATAATTTGATTAATAACAAAGATGTCTGGCAGGAACAAACAAACAAAAAATCGAGAATATTGCATTTGATGTCTTAATGGTAGTGTATAAAAAATCCCTTTATACACTACCATTAAGACATCAAATGCAATATTCTCCTGAACAACTGTATTTAATAAAACCAAAACTTATCAGATAATTTTTGAAATTTAAAGTTAACTAATTCTTTTTAGCATTAAATACAGACATACGTCTATTGGCAATTCTCCATATTTGTTCCTCATGTTTTTCAATAACTTGGGATGAGATGTCAAAATTTCCACAATTTCCACATGTCCAAATTTGCAGGCAAAATGAAGTGGTGTTTCACAGACCTGGAACAAAGAATGAAATCTAAAGTAAGAATTGTGCTGCACTGATATGTCTATCCATTTTTTATTTGTAGGAAAATTGTAATTAAAATTCATATTTGAATAAGTAACCTTTTCATACTGACATCATTTATGTGGCCCACATACATGAACATATAAAAAAACACCAAAAATGTTGATAAACCAGCTAAAGAGTATCAGAAATATGCATAACATTGATTAATATTACCAATTTTCTTAAACTGAATTCAAAAGTTCAAAAAGGAACTTCTTTGGATGACCTAACTTACTCCCTTATCTGGTGTATTCAGGTACAAGTCTACCAAAAAGTCTATTCTGGAATTTCTTGTTTCTTCTGTGTCGTTTGTATACAGTAATTTTATGAAAGCAGGATCTTCCAAAGTGTCCAATAGGAGGCGACACATGTCTGGTCTGTTCCTCATAGCACATACATGTAAGCCATTGTATCTAAATCCCTCCTAACACAAAAAGAAAAAGGAAGTTTAGTGTAAAAAGTCTTCTTGACATTTTTGATCATTTTCTAATACTAATGACCCAGACAACATTTTATTCATTTGGCTTAAGACTTGCAAAATTTTTATCTTTATGATAATGTTTCTTGATTTATTCCAGACCATGTTATAATATTTAATGTTACATCAAAGCCACATTTATTATTTGATACTTGAAGCAATACTGGTACATCCCTGTTATCTTATATTTCTTAAAAGGAATCTTATAGACATACCATTCAAAGCATAAAAATGGAAATATCCTACACAGGTGAATGATGCTATTTCTTACTTGTAATATTGCAGGTGTGTCCCCACTACTTATAAGATATCTTGGATTACTCCAGACTAGGTTTTCAAAAGTGTCTCTGTTATCAGTTTCAATGGCTTTCCTAAGCTTGACCAAGTCCTGCGTCTTAGGAGCTTTAAAAGGCAGAGACTCTGTGATGGTTCCTGTACCCGTTTCTCCAGCAACAGTGTCTGGTGATCCCTGAAATAAAGATGGTGATAGTATTCATATTCTTTTGGTTAACTGGGCATACTTTTTTCATTTTAATAGAAGATTATACTTTCCAGATTTAGGAATTTAAGCAACTGAATAAAAATGAAATAATAAACAACTATTTCTTTTTTTAATAATCACAATTTCTTTCAGCCTCTGGTCAATACTACCTTCAAGCTTTTAATCAACACTGTTGTGTCTAACCAAGGGCTAAAAATTTATATATAAAGCAGTGTGAAATATACAGTGACAGTCACACTAACTTTTACTATTTGCACAAGTGTATAAAGTAACAAAAACCAGAAAATATGAGAGAGAGAGAGAACATGGGTGTGATTCATAGCAGCAACCAAAACTTATGTTTTGTTTGTAGTTTGATTCATTTGCCTGTCCATTTCTCAGATCATTTGCTGGGCTATTCAATTACCTGCTTAACTTTGTTGACAGAATCAAGAGTAATTGGTGATATTTGAATAAATGACCTGAAAATACCTGGGGCAAAGTTGTTTGTTTGGCAGCAGGGGACTGTGAAAAGTCTGCCACTTGCTGAGCAAAATTATTTGCTTCTTCTTGGTTCTTGAAAGCCTTAAATCTTGCTCCTTTGAATTTCTTAGCAAATTTCAGTGCCTCAATCTTATCAGTGAAAACTGCTTCTTTTACTGAAAATATGGAAAATATGTATTAATTAAGTTCAAGTGATGTTCTGTGTGTGTGTGTGTGTGTGTGTGTGTGTGTGTGTGTGTGTGTGTGTGTGTGTGTGTCAAATCTTATTAACATTCAGTAAAAGCATCATACAGTGCATTAAGCAATCTCATCTTCATCAATGCCAAACAGTTCAATCAAGGAGTTCTGTTGGAACTCCTTGGTTCAATAAACCTCTTCCTATGCTTGGAATAAGAATCAAAGTTTGACGACAATACAGGCCAAGAGAAAACTACAAATTGAAATGATATACAAGGGCATGGGAAGGACATCTTAAAACATTATAGGAGTAATACAGTAATTCATTTGGATTTATATGCCCCCAATTTTTCTTTTTCAGGATGAAGTGTTGCTAATTTTTTATAAAGTGAGCTTCACTGCATTCTCCATTTTAAAATTGAGCTCGTATACAAATAGGAAAATAATCGAATTACATACTATATACCACACCTTCCTCATAAGTCAGATCAGCATCAGACGGTAGACTGACGCCGTAATAAAAAGCAGGTGCTTCTTTCTTCCCTTCATCCATCTTTCCATCATTTTGGTCCTCCGATCTACATGTACTCTGGCTTGCAACGGTGCTACTGGGCACACTGTCGACGCTATTTGAAGAGACTTTACCATCGTTCATGTTTACCTCTCTCTCTGATTGTTCTTCGGGGGTTAATAGCCCCTTCTTTTTTGCAACCAAATTTATGAGCTTATTTTCCCAAAGTGGACGTGTTGTTGACAAAATTGGACCAGCTTGCATGCCAGATTTCTGCAACTCGGAGAGAAGGCTTTCATCGCTTAGCTGCCTGATACTTGATTTAAGCTCCTCCATACTCGTGGAAACCAACCAACTTACAATGACATCCGACTAAAAAACAACAAAAAAATTATGAATCTCCGTCTGCCTACAAAATGCATGTCTCTGTCTGTGTGTCCCGCCATACATTTGAACGAGATTATGTTTGTTTTACCTGTTGTGATTGGTAGGACAAACTGAGACTGACGAATCAAAATTCCTTTTAGGAAAAGCTGTTTGGACCAACAGTGGTGCGAAAAGTACACGCACCCTGCTGCACTGCACTGAAGTTCGTAAAAAGTTTTTGAAAGTAAGTTATTAGATATGGATTAAGATAGCTTCACGTATTTTAATTTTTAGATTTCTCTTAAGGCATTAAGGGGGAACGTGAATCAGCATTTATAATTGACCGGTAATGCAGAAAACGTATTTTTAAAACTATTCCATTCTGTGCTTGACCTAATTTTTGAAAACGCCCCCCTTATTATATAGTTTCTTTCAACATGAAGGAGTTCGCTTTATGAATATCAGATACTCTGATGGTTAGTGCGAAGAGAAATAGAAATTAAATAACACCCAAAACGTAATGATAAAATTATAGGCATGCCTAAATTATTTATTTATCTCATAAGATTCATTTCGCACCGAAACTTTATCTACCGGTACATGTTAGTGCAGGGTCGAGCAGTGATTTGTAAGTACTAGTAGAATGAAGTAAATGTTTTTCTCAAGGAAAATTTGAATTTTTTCTCGAGGAAATTTTGATTTGGTGGGTAAATTCTGTAGTATACCTTCCAACAAGCCAGCTTAAACCAAGCAGCCTACATTTTGTACAGGTATCAATTAAACACGCTGTAAACATGAAAACATAAATAAAAAATAATACCATGTATGCAGCAACATACTGCAGGGCTCGACATTAGCGCCTGTCCGCCTGTCCGGGACAGGTAAAAATTCAGTTCGGACAGGTGAAGTTGCAGGGTTGGCTGTCCGACGGACAGGTCATGTTTTATGAGAAATTTGGATCAAAAATCTTTAAACAAGGCAGCAAAGCTGTCAAATGTACAGACAAAAAGCAGGAAATAACTATGCACAAAATAGGCTACTGTCAATTCTGNCATAAAAATAAAGATTGTATTTAAGTAATGAAATAATTCTCTTACCTTGCAGTAATTCCTCAATTTTTGCTCTAGCTTCCTTTTCTTTTGATTTATCTTTTATTCTCGAGCATACCACCTACAATGATACAGAAAAAAAGATCCTATGTGAGAGCAAAAAAAAAAAAGTCAAAAGAATTACAACAGCCAATAATTTGATTAATAACGATGATGTCTGGCAGGAACAAACAAACAAAAAATCCCTTTATACACTACCATTAAGACATCAAATGCAATATTCTCCTGAACAACTGTATTTAATAAAACCAAAACTTATCAGATAATTTTTGAAATTCAAAGTTAACCAATTCTTTTTAGCATTAAATACAGACATACGTCTACTGGCAATTCTCCATATTTGTTCCTCATGTTTTTCAATAACTTAGGATGAGATGTCAAAATTTCCACAATTTCCACATGTCCAAATTTGCAGGCAAAATGAAGTGGTGTTTCACAGACCTGGAACAAAGAATGAAATCTAAAGTAAGAATTGTGCTGCACTGATTTGTCTATCCATTTTTTATTTGTAGGAAAATTGTAATTAAAATTCATATTTGAATAAGTAACCTTTTCATACTTACATCATTTATGTAGCCCACATACATGAACATATAAACAAAACACCAAAAATGTTGATAAACCAGCTAATGAGTATCAGAAATATGCATAACATTGATTAATGTAACCAATTTTCTTAAACTGATTTCAAAAGTTCAAAAAGGAACTTCTTTGGATGACCTAACTTACTCCCTTATCTGGTGTATTCAGGTACAAGTCTACCAAAAAGTCTATTCTGGAATTTCTTGTTTCTTCTGTGTCATTTGTATACAGTAATTTTATGAAAGCAGGATCTTCCAAAGTGTCCAATAGGAGGCGACACATGTCTGGTCTGTTCCTCATAGCACATACATGTAAACCATTGTATCTAAATCCCTCCTAACACAAAAAGAAAAAGGAAGTTTAGTGTAAAAAGTCTTCTTGACATTTTTGATCATTTTCTAATACTAATGACCCAGACAACATTTTATTCATTTGGCTTAAGACTTGCAAAATTTTTATCTTTATGATAATGTTTCTTGATTTATTCCAGGCCATGTTATAATATTTAATGTTACATCAAAGCCACATTTATTATTTGATACTTGAAGCAATACTGGTGCATCCCTGTTATCTTGTATTTCTTAAAAGGAATCTTATAGACATACCATTCAAAGCATAAAAATGGAAATATCATACACAGGCGAATGATGCTATTTCTTACTTGTAATATGGCAGGTGTGTCCCCACTACTTATAAGATATCTTGGATTACTCCAGACAAGGTTTTCGAAAGTGTCCCTGTTATCAGTTTCAATGGCTTTCCTAAGCTTGACCAAGTCCTGCGTCTTAGGGGCTTTAAAAGGCAGAGACTCTGTGATGGTTCCTGTACCCGTTTCTCCAGCAACAGTGTCTGGTGATCCCTGAGATAAAGATGGTGATAGTATTCATATTCTTTTGGTTAACTGGGCATACTTTTTTCATTTTAATAGAAGATTATACTTTCCAGATTTAGGAATTTAAGCAACTGAATAAAAATGAAATAATAAACAACCATTTCTTTTTTTAATAATCACAATTTCTTTCAGCCTCTGGTTGACAGAATCAAGAGTAATTGGTGACATTTGAATAAATGACCTGAAAATACCTGGGGCAAGGCTGTTTGTTTGGCAGCAGGGGACTGTGAAAAGTCTGCCACTTGCTGAGCAAAATTATTTGCTTCTTCTTGGTTCTTGAAAGCCTTAAATCTTGCTCCTTTGAATTTCTTAGCAAATTTCAGTGCCTCAATCTTATCAGTGAAAACTGCTTCTTTTACTGAAAATATGGAAAATATGTATTAACTAAGTTCAAGTGATGTTCTGTGTATGTATATATATATGACATACAAGGGCATGTGGAGGATATCTAAAAATATTATAGGAGTAATAGAGTAATTCATTTGGATTTATATGCCCCCAATTTTTCTTTTTCAGGATTGAGTGTTGCTAATTTTTTATTAAGTGAGCTTCACTGCATTCTCCATTTTAAAATTGAGCTCATAGGAAAATAATCGAATTACATACGATATACCACACCTTCCTCATTAGTCAGATCAGCATCAGACGGTAGACTGACGCCGTAATAAAAAGCAGGTGCTTCTTTCTTCCCTTCATCCATCTTTCCATCATTTTGGTCCTCCGATCTACATGTACTCTGGCTTGCAACGGTGCTACTGGGCACACTGTCGACGCTATTTGACGAGACTTTACCATAGTTCATGTTTACCTCTCTCTCTGTTTGTCCTTCGGGGGTTAATAGCCCCTTCTTTTTTGCAACCAAATTTATGAGCTTATTTTCCCAAAGTGGACGTGTTGTTGACAAAATTGGACCAGCTTGGATGCCAGATTTCTGCAACTCAGAGAGAAGGCTTTCATCGCTTAGCTGCTTGATGCTTGATTTTAGCTCCTCCATCCTCAGGAAACCATCCAATTTACTTACAATGACATCCGACTAAAAAAAAATTATGAATCCCCGTCTGCCTACAAAATGCATGTCTCTGTCTGTGTGTCCCGCCATACATTTGAACGAGATTATGTTTGTTTTACTTGTTGTGATTGGTAGGACAAACTGAGACTGACGAATCAAAATTCTTTTTAGGTAAAGCTGTTTGGACCGACAGTGGTGCGAAAAGTACACGCACCCTGCTGCACTGCACTGAAGTACGTAAAAAGTTTTTGAAAGTAAGTTATTATTTGGATTAGGATAGCTTCACGTATTTTAATTTTTAGATTTCTCTTAAGGCATTAAGGGGGAACGTGAATCAGCATTTATAATTGACAGACAATGCAGAAAACGTATTTTTAAAACTATTCCATTCTGTGCTTGACCTAATTTTTGAAAACGCCCCCCTTATTATATTAGTTTCTTTCAACTTGAAGGAGTTTGCTTTATGAATATCAGATACTCTGATGGTTAGTGTGAAGAGAAGTAGAAATTAAATAACACCCAAAACGTAATGATAAAAATTATAGGCATGCCTAAATTATTTATTTATCTTATAAGATTTATTTCGCACCCAATCTTTATTTACAGTACTGTACATTTAGGTGCGAGCAGTGATTTATAAGTACTAATAGAATGGAGTAGATTTTTTTCTCGAGGAAAATTTGATTTGGTGGGTAAACCCTGAAGGATACCTTCCAACAAGCCAGCATAAGCCAAGCAGCCTGCATTTTATTGTACAGGTATCATTAACACACGCTGTAAACATGAAAACATAAATAAAAAATAATACTATACTGCAGTATGTATACAGCAACATACTGGGTTAAACCATTTTTGCAGCAACATACTGGGTTATAGATACATAAAAAGTGTGTCAAAGGTCAAATTCAAGGTTACATGTGGGGTTGTCACGTTTTTTCTATTCATGGCCAGCAATAACTGGGCGTGCTGAGTACGTGTACTGTATCTCTTTTGATATTGGAGATGTACTAGTCTGGCAAATAGAAAAAAAATAAGATTTTTTCCATAAAAAGAAGGTCAAAGGTCAATTTCAAGGTCATATTTGGATTTGTCCATTACATGCATGTGTGTGTATCTTATGTAGTATTTGAAAAGCAAAGCTGAAAAATTGAACAAAAAAATTTGGTTTAACCATCAAAGGTTGGTCAAGCTAGGTCAAAGCAAAGAGCTAAAAAACATTCTTGGAGATGTAAAGCCTGTTATATTGATCGAACAAGGCTAAAGGTGTGGGAAAAATTACAGAAAGATGTAAAGTATAATGGAATCATGCCCATTTTCAAAATGCAATTAAAGCCCACAAGTTACCTCAGCAAGCTTAATCATAGTTACCATTTGGATGAAACGGTGTCCACATATTAAAATATATGAAGAAAAGTATTGAAAAAAACATAAAGAATAATTGGGCATTATTGCTATTGAGATTGGCTGACATTTTAATAGGACAAGCAGCCAAAGAGTAATCTCTGAAACTTGGAAGCAAAACAGCAACATTGCTTGCTAGTTATTGTGGTAACAAGAAATGTGTACTTCTCCAGCTACCAGCTTATGACCATAGACAGACTCAGGTGATGGGATTTTAAACATACTCAGTAGTGTCTGAAAAGAGTTTAATTTATGAAAAAGCATTATTAAATAAAAATTCAATGCAATATGATATAAGAAATATACATGGAATTGAAGGTGTATAGATTGATATTTTTATGATCTCAAGAGCACAGACCATTGGAGTTAAAAAATGTGCTTTAATTAATTAACCAATCATCTGTTATAAAACTGTTAATGGAAGTTTCTACTGGGGTAATATGTAAATTTAACAGGAGAGGGGAAAATTCAGAGATAGAGCTAAAATATGGCATCCATGTTTTGGCTGTTTTACATAACCTTACTTGTTTTAATTCAAGTTTTGTTTAAGCAAAAATAATCCAACTATTTGACAGAAAGAAATTTTCAATCTTTTATTTTTTTATCTTAGTATGGAGAAAATGTTGTTTTATTTTTATGCAAAGATTTAAAAAAATCAAACAGAAGTAGATTGAGGACATCATGTATCTCAAACTACAGATAATTAGAATAAGTTAGTAAGCACTCAAGCTTACATGGAAATAGTGAACAGTGATTATGTAATATCACTTTTGTTCAGGTGGACATTAAGCTTTGGATCCTTGCATGTACATGTAATAGGTACTAGTAATTGAATATATGCATTTACATATGTCATAATTGAAAATTTATGTCAGGCTCAGCAAGGAATACCATGATAGATTGCATTACATGACATTATAATTAATGTCATGTAATGCAATCTATCATACTTATAACTATAATAGATCAACTTTTGACTAAAATTGGTCAGCTGTAAATGGCCATTTGGATATTTTTAGGTTGTTCCAAAAATTGACTGCACATGCCTAATATATATTATGATGTGTCAGATTCAACTGTTGGAATGATACATTTATGGCTTCATTGGTACATAGCTAGATACCACTGAAAGATGATGTAGCATTGATGGGAAATAATTCAGGACACACTAATGTACATGGATGATGGTCTGTTGCTGAATGCATTAAATCAATAATTAAGCCTAGCTCAGTAAATCAGAAATAAGGAGCGAGTCAGTTTTAGAGTGTGTGTTGTGACAGCAGTGGTAATTGCAATTACATTATAGAGTACATTTTTCCAGAGTACTGCTATTCAGGTGTTGTATTTTCTTTTCAATTTGTGACTTCTGATAAGTTGTAATTACAAGAGTCATTTGCAGTCTGTGCATGAGAAAATGCAGTCAACATTAATCCTTATGGACAGAATGGTTACCCTAGATCTTGTCAGTTGGATCAAGCCAGAAACCTCTGTGTTAGCATTAAAAAGTGGGGTTGAGGAAAAGGGAAGTGCACACATGCAAGCACTCATACAGAGTTTATCAAGGGACTGATATGAAGATGTTACACTGTACCAGGAGATATTTTGAGTAAACATAGCCATTAGTTATAAGAAAAAAAAACTCAATAATGGGCTGTGTTCACAATAAAAAGATAAGATTAAAAATGTTTGCAAATAATTTCTGTGCTAAAGCTCTTACTTCATAAAATAATTATACTCAGGACTGATATTGTTGTCTCAGAGGAACCAATGTAACTCAGAATAAGACTGTTGAATCATCACCAAGTGGAGATGATTGGAAAGATTGCACACTAATGTGGTCAATTTAGAAAGTCATTGTCAGTGAAATCTGAAAAAAAAAATCCTACATTATGTTTTATCTTCTTGAGTTGGGCAGTCACTACCTCTTTTAATAAATAAACATACAAGCATGTGTAAATAGAATAAAAATAGCATGATTACAAATATAGAACACAATGGGGCTGCTGCTTTTAAAACCACTCGCCCTAAAACCAATACAAAAAGGTAATTTATCTGATTACTATCGAACTGCACATTCACCTCTCTCCTCCGCACACAGATTAGCTGAAGCTCTGTGCCGATTATGGAATGTTTTTAGTCACAGGACGTCTTATCATCACCTGAGCTTGCCATAGGATGATATACAGTGCTAATTTAATGCAGTTACTGGTAGCCAACTTTATAGTGGACAAAGCGCTGAAAAGAGATAAAAGCGTGCATTTTTCTTGATTCCATTAATTGCATTGTTGGAGTGGAAACGGCCATTTACAGCATGAGCTTCGGACATTGTTTACAGGTTGCAGATAACTAGTATGCAATACATTAAGTATTTGTAACAACATTGGTAGATCAGTTACTCTTTACGTCAACTCAGGAAAATATGACATATTTTTGTGACATTTAGAAGCAGGATTAGTTTCTATTGCCTGTGTTCACCTTTTGGGAAGATAACCTGCAAGTGACGAGGAAACCTCTTGTAGCAGGGAATGTAAAACACTGATGGGTTACTAAAGTTGATAAAACAGGATATACAAACACTGGAGCGAGAGCATAACTTGTTTATATTTTATGGTAACATCATCCAGATAATCAACACAATATCGAACTATGCTACCATGTACATGTTTTCTTCTTTAATATTCAATTGTAATTGGACTTGGGACTAAAAAGTGACAGAAACAAGTAGTTTTATGAGTGCTTAGGCACAGGATCAGTTACAGTGCATAGTATCATCTAACATTCTGCTCCATCAAACATACAGTACTCTCCATGACTAGCAGCTTTGTGAACTTCATGCATTAATGGTAGAGTGACATTCTTTCCTGGGGTACTCAAAATTGAATGAGTACTAGCGTTACATCATCGAACCTTGACAGGTACATTCTACTATATTGCACACACATTGGAAGAGGATATGTGAATAAAGAATTCAATATGTGCATCAATGGGAGGAAGTAGTGAATAGCAGTTTTTGCATTTAGCCAATTTTTGGTTCAGGTGTGGTGTATTTCCACTAATGCAGACATAGTGCTTGCTGATAACAAATTGCTGAATAATATAGGATGTTACTTTTTTTTCTTATGTGGTGATAAAGGAAATGAACACGTGTGTAAAATAGCCAGACAGATTTTAGGGCGCAAGGTTGGACTAAAAAGAGGGGATAGACTGCAGCTTCTTGACAACATTTTTGGAGAGCATTGGATATTCTTAAGTGAGCAGTACAGAGAAATAAGGTCCAAATGTTTTATTGCTTTTTTAAAACTGTTAAAACTGTCAGTTATTTGGATTGACTCCATATGTGACAATTAATTGTTGATTATGTGCATCCTTGATGAAAACTTTCCCTTTTTTAGAGGTATAGGTATAGGCAATTATAATTTTTATGGAGGCAGAGGTATCAGATGTAATTAGATGTGTTAGATACATGTACCTGGTAATTGATAAGAATATAATTGTCTTGAACTTGACATCCAAATATTATTTTCTTACCAGGTGTTATAGTCTTCTTGAATGACAGTGGAACCTACTTACCCGTAGGAGATCTGGTCATATCAGTACAATAATTTCAATAATGGACAACTTTAGTGCATGTAGCAAAAGAAGTTGTTGCTGTGGGGAGTTAACCTGAAGATACTTTACCAGCAGATGAATGATCACCTGAAAAATGATAATACCATAATTGAAAACATTGACGCACGTACAATTTGATACTATTATAAAAAGAGGGGATAGACCTCTGAATAACAACTTCAACAACAACTGGAATACTCCAAACAGTTTGAACTAATTTAAAAAAAAGTTGACAGTCAGAGACTTGAAACAATACTGGCTGGAAAATATTGGGTCACCTGAATAGTATAGTCCGGACAGTACCCTGGATAAAATTTTAATGAAGGAAAGCTCTTCAGGGAATGGATCATGTATCACCTGCTCAATGGATCAATACATGAAAAAGATCACATTGGTTTGAAAACAATAGAAAGTGGGATACAATCAACTTGATTGGATTTCATTCAAAGGGTATATATGTTCCAGGCGAAGTTTGTGTCAATGGTGAAAAATATATCAGAGGCACTCTTGATAGATGAATATTTCTATGGTATTTACTCTCCTTATTGTTTGTACTTATTGATAGTATCTACAGAAGTAGATAATACCACCTGAGGAGCATTTCAATAGAATTATAACCAGGTGATATTTCCAGTATAGGAAGTGTTTGTTTTATGATGCAGTAGACTGTAAATGAAACATGAATGCCTTTGATTGTATTGTATTAACCTGGAGCTAGGGAGATTGGCTAAATTCTGTTTCTGAAAGAGTACAACGAGTAAACTGATGCTTTTGCTGTATTTTGGATATATTCCTTAACTGCAGCATACATTGAACAGCTGAACAGTGCACCAGTTAATTGATAATAGATTTTTGCTGAGAAAATAAGTATCTTTAACATGGAGCGACCAAGTACAATAGACAATTTAATAGCAACTCCAGAAAGAAACAGTTCCTATGGGAGCATTGGAACTGCTGTAAAGTTATTAGTTGAACAAACTGATACATGTTCTAGAGTGCTCATGGTTGACAAAGTGGACAAAGCAATGGGTAAGTGGCTGGCCATTTCACCAGTTGTTCCCTCTGTATAACATGCCTTCTCCACCTTGTCCACCTCTTCAGTCTCCATAAAAAGAAAGAGACATCATTTCATACAGTACACTTGTACTAAATTGGAAGGAATAGATGTGGTAAATGGGTATATGGAGAAATAAATTTGCAGTAGTAGAGTGAGGAAATGGATCAAGAAGAATTTAAAAATATGATTGATGATCTAAAACCATTACATAATTGCAACTGCTGTAATTTACCATTGACTTAATGTACAAGTATGTTTATTATCCCTATATAGCAACATGACTGTTCTTAAAATGTGATTACTATTTCCTACAGCCCCTGAACTAGTAGAAGAGGGTACCATGAACTACCAAAGGTTTGATGATGAGGAAGAAGAAGACATGGTTATGCCGCCAAAAGCACAAAATGAAGAGATCATGACGGAGGTGCGCCTTGACCAAGATGGCGTCGATGTACAGGTATAGGCGCTTTATACATGTCGATTGTGTTAGCAATAGTACAGAATGGAAGAAAGTAACTGAAAATAAATGGCGAAATATTTGACCAAATACATGTATATTATATTCTGAAGTACATAAGTTAAGTTGTAAGTGCTTATTTTATTTCATTTTTTGTTAGAATTACAAAAGCTTTTTGAAACTCATTTAAGGGAAATTGGTGTTATAGAGTAGGGGTATGATGTAAAAAGGCCATAAAAATTAACTGATGGGGGATACTTATTCCATAATGTAAGTGTGCTTATCATAAGGCCATGCTTTGATTTGCTACTAGTACTTATTACAACTTTATTTTTTCAAGATTTGTGTTTTAGTTGCATGATCCTAGATCTCATGGTAAATTTCTTTTTATTTTACTAGATTGTTTCAAGTGATAAACATGTCATACGTGCATCTTCTGGGACCAATGGTACTTTTTACGATACAGAGGCTCAGCAAGGGGGGCCACAACACATTGAGGATCCTGCAGGGGACCGTTATACAGCAGAAACACCTCTGGAGTAAGACATGTCTATCTGTAATTATTTCTTTTTTTTCTCTCTTTCTCTTTTAATTCTGGCATGCCTTCCTTCCTTTTTCCTTTTCTTTCTTCTTTCTTTCCATCTTTGAAATTTATTAGATTGAAGCATTGGGTGTGAAACAATATCAAGTGTTTTGTAAGTTGGCTGAAACTATATTTTAAAAGTGGCAAACTGAACAGTTTCATTCCAGAAAGAGGCACTTGCATAATTTAATCACTGCAACAGATTAAATGTGTTTTGGCCATTGGCCTTCACTTGTGGACCGGGTATTTACTCTCTTGACTTCCTTCCACGTTGCGTGAATGGTGCTGACACATCCTATTGGGATATGATTCATGTTCAGTGCAACATTGATGTAAAGATAACTCATACAATGGGTCATCTGATTGCCAACAGAGCTCTGAAAATATCCTTTGTTACCTCTACTTCAAAAGATAAGAATAGTTGCAAAGCAGAGTGTATATATATTCAACATGCATAAAGCAGAGAGTGTATGGTCAAGCCTGAGTTAAGATTCAATCGTATTTTGAAGCTATCAAATTGCCTTCCTAACCGTTGGAAATGGATTGGATTATAGCTCACTGTGGCTCACAGAACACTGTAGGCTGCTGTCTTCTGTCTGGATGCACACATTTGATCAGTGGAATTTGTTCTCATGATGTTTCACTCATCTAAGCAGAAAGCTGACAAGTGCTTTGATCTAATCAGCTGTGCCAATTAAATATGTACAGTGTACGTTAATGCTACGGAAACTTTATACTGAAAGAACACAATAAATACATAGATTGCAACCCACACTTCAATTCATTACTTACACATTAGAAAGGGTTTGGTTGCCTTGGTTATTGGTGACAATTAGTGATCACTTATATATCACATATTAATTGGCGTATTGTTTAATATGTGACTCAGAGAGTTGATCAAGACCTGCCTCCACTCTAATTAACCGTTTCCAATCTTATGCAGTCTGTAATCTGCCTTGTTTCATGGTAATTTCATCTGCATAATGATTATGATGTATTAACTATAAAGCTGAATTCTAAATTAAGGGAAGTTATAGAATACATAAAAGAATGGAATGTCTTTCCTTAAATTATGTTGATTTAATATTTGTACCACCAGCGTTAGAGAGATTTAGAGTTTTAGTTTTTGAGATTTAGTTTCAAAACCTCCCAAAAGCTTCTCAGTACACTTTCAGTATTTATTTACTTATTGTACCACCAGCGTTAGCGCTGGCGGTACACATGGTTTCGGTCCCGTCCGGATCGTTCCGCCGGCTCCGCCGGACGGCTACCGTTACCGCTTCTCCTCCTAGACGGTAAGGGCCCCTGTACCCATCTCANAATTGTGTGTTGGAAACATACTCTTAGGTTTTTTCGGTAAAGTAACGTAGGTAAAAATAAGTAATATAAATAAAATAATATAAATAATAATAGAAATAAGATTATAAATATCCGATAACTTCGTATAATGTATGCTATACGAAGTTATTACGTCTGATTTCTATATATCAGAACATATTTTCATTACAAAATACTTTGTCAAATGGAAAATGTTTTCTAAAACCTCTTTTAAGTAGCTGGCTTTACTTTTGTTATACACCAATGTTAAAAAGATATCGAAAGTAAAAAATAGTTATTTGCCAAAAGTAATTAGGTTGAAAAAACACAGAGGTCAATGGCAACATGAATAACAGTACACTTTGCCAATTCAAAATATTTCAGTAAAAAATATACATACATTATGTAATTTTTGCTCTCTCTCTCTCTCTTTCAGACATGCACAGTTAATGGTGAGGAAGGTTGTAGAACATATTATCTTCAGACTGGTCACAATGGTGCTCATTCTCATAGACATTGTACTGGTGATTGTTGATATATCAATCACCACAGACAGCAAGAAAGGCTTTGATGTTGTTGCTCTCATTTTTTCATGTTATTTTATGACAGAGGTGATTGCTAGGATATTTGGGAGAGGGTAAGTGCAAACTTTATTTCTGACTTAATGCTTACAGGATTCCTGCTTGCAAAAAATATGTATTGTGGGTAAAAGTGCATTTTGTTTTGTCACTCTATGTGTTTTAGTAATTGTAGCCATGACCACTCACTCTTATACTATTTGGATTCTCAGGATGATTGGATTAAGTCTTGCTATTTAAACAATACATGCCTATATGAATAAAAACTATAAAATACAATCTGCATTTACAAAAATTTACCAAAAAGCTGACAGGGCTTAGAATTATACAATATTTTACTTAAATTTTTCATCGCTGTATCAAACATTCGCTGTAAGTTGTTAAAATGTCAGAACCACACAGCAATACTAACATAAAATTGTATTGAAAAATCTTCTTAGAAAAAAGTATTTTAGGAGAATGAAGAAATCAGTTCTTCAAGATAACTAATTGTTTGTATTTTTTGTTATTTTTCAGCCCAAAACTGTTCTTCAAAAACTGGGTGGATGTGGTTGACTTTGTGGTGGTGTTGATAGCCTTCATTTTCACTCCTATATATACAGCTTTAGATTTAAGAAACTTACAGCAGAATGCTGAGTTGGGAAAGTAAGTCTAGTTATTGTGGAGTTTTATGTAGAATTGTGAATTTTATTTATTTGATATAAAATATTAACGGCACTGGGAACATATTCTGTGCTTCTTTTGTTTAAAAGCACTTTTCAAAAATATTTTATAAAAAGGGGATATCCATTCAGTTCTTGAATACATGAATTTTACTAGTGAACATTTTTCTGTTTATACTTTACAACAGTCTTAATAGGAAAATATAATATGTGTATAATAAGGTGTATGCTGTTGTAGTGTGGAGAACTAAAAGTAATATTTAAAAAATTTAAACAAAATTTTCAAAATTAATGTTTTTGTTGCTGTTTTCAGACTAGTTATTGCTGGCCGTCTGATCAGAGGCATACTCATCATTCGAATCATTTACACGGAGAGAAAGAATGTTGCCAAGGCCTCTCGACTGATGGTCTCAGAAAACAAGAGAAGATACCAGAAAGATGGTTTTGATCTGGATTTATGTTACGTGACAGGTATGCAGCATGTGTTCAGTTTAGCTCTTTTGATATGTGAGGGGTGGAGAAATGTACTTAAATGAGGAAAAAAGGTGTTTCAGAGGACGGGGCAACTGTTATATGGTCCAAAACTGAGTCTGGTTGTTTAATTGTAGTAATATAAACAAAGCTTTAAGGTGCAAGGCTTACTAAAATGGAATATTTCCATATTATTTTGATTTGACCAACTGTGTTATCAGGCAGTGCCATTGTATTTCAGGTGAGGGCAAACCCCAGTTAGATAATGTTTTCAAATTAATGATACCTGTACATATGGTGAAATATGTATATCATTTATAAATTTACATATCAAGATCAAGTTGAAGGTCATTCCAATTAAAGCAGATAATGAATGATATGGGGCATGTTGTCTGTGGGGACATTCATACCCTCCTCCACGGTCACAGAGAGAAGTTTTTTTACAACATTTTCAAAGATATTTTTCTCGATATTCACTAATTTTCTACATTTCTGTACTGTGAATTTTTGGACAACATTTACATGTGCATTTTTACTTGGCTGTCCATTTGTAGAGTAGATATTCAATACCCCTCTGAACTATAACTCAGGCTAATGGCCTAGTATCTATAGCTTATTGTTCAGAATTAGTTTTCATTCAGACACTGGAAGAAGACACCCTTTTTTACCTCACACTTGCATAGAGATCTTTCCCTGGCATATGGGGTCATTGACTCATGTGGCTGTTGTTTACTGATTTCACCCAGAGTTACACATTCTTTGTTTGTACACTGAGGCACATTCTGGTATATAAAATAATGAAGTGCTTTCATGTTAATTTTGGATGTTGTCTTCTAACCCAAAATAAGTTAATTTTATCAATAAATCTATTACTTTACCTTTTATATTTTTATATTCTCTGTGGAACACTGCACACTGATAAATGTAAATGTTTTATCAGTACTCTAATTGCTGAGATTGATGCCTTGTAAATGTCTCCCTTGGATAGCGCTAACACTCGCCAATTTAGCCAAATGCTAAAACTCTCTTAAATTGGCTAAGAAAAAGGGCTTGATTTGACTTGTTTTAGTCAAATTATAACCATTTTGATAACAAATTGACAAAAAAGTGGTGATTTGGCTAGGCGAAAAAAATTGCTAGCGCTACCCCAGTCTCCTGTATTATTATTTTATATTACAGAAAGGGTGATTGCAATGTCATTTCCTTCTACTGGAATCATGTCAGTTTATAGAAACCCAATCCAGGTGAGTTTGTACACATGGGCTCAAAAATTATATAGTAATTTATAAGTGTATTTGAATCAAATTAACAAAGTATATTTACAGAAACATACATTATATGACATTTCTAGACTGGTGCGCTGTTTGATTCTGAATCCCTAAGATACCAAATCCTTAATCATTTTATAAAAAAAAGGAGCAACAGCTACATTTATATCACTGCCAAAATAAAATGTTAGCCAAATTTGGCAAGTTGGCCTGCCAAATATGCACTAGCACTTTCTAGTAGCACCCAGCTTAAGTATTGTAAGTTGTGAAGTTGAAGTTAAAGGTACCTGTATTCTATTTGGGATAAATCCTGACACCAAAATGTAATTTTCTTTTAGAAAAAAAAGCATTTTTTCTCCTGCGCGCAAATTGTTCAAACTTGTACAGTTTCTAATGAAATAACTTACTTCTAAATGAACTGTGATTCATTTAAATTCTTAATCTCAGATAGAAAGGTCAGTATCAAGTAGACTCCAGATTAACTTTTATTTGAGAGGTTTCATTGTTTTTATGTCTGGAAATGAGAAATATTAGACAGGATATTTAGACATGAAAATAAGACTTCAAAGCATTTTCAGTTACCTGTAGGATATCTTAAATGCATGCTTTAATTGTTTAGTCTGAAACAATTACACCAACTGCTTTCAGGAAGTTGCAAGATTTTTTGACACCAAGCACAAGGACCATTACAAAATATATAACCTCTGCAGTAAGTATGAGAAGTGAGATAGTAGGTGTTCAGTGTAACTTACAAGCATGTTATAATTGAAATATAATGTAAAATTGGAGAATTAAAAAAAAAGATTTTTTTTTCATTTAGGATGTTTGGCTTGTTAAACTTAAAAATTCTAAACCATCTCATTTTTGGTTAAACTACCAAGGTGCATTAATGAAGATGTCAAGCTGAAAGAGTTACAAGTTGAAAAAAGTTGTTGTTAACCAATAATGCCATTAATATTAACATATTGCTTAGCATTGGACAAAAATTAATGAAAATGGACAAATGTTCATTCATTCATTCATTCGGTTATTTATTATTTTTAGGTGAGAGAGGGTATGATGAGACATTATTCCACAACAGAGTGGAGAGGGTCTATATTGATGACCACAATGTACCAGAACTCAAGTATGATATATAAAGATATTTCACTAAAAGACAGCTTATGTAAAGTTCAAAAACCCCATTATTTATTTCATAAAATTTCATAAAATTGGTAGAGGGGTAGTCTTATTGGATTGTTTGATAACTGTTGTAGAATTGATTATAGCCAGAGTATAATTATTGTCAGTCTTAAACTAATTCCCAAACATTTTTGGAGTACAATATTTTTATTCTTTAAACACAAAAGAATAGCACATTTGGTCTGAACCACTGAAATTGAAAAAAATGACATGAAAAAGTTTTAAGTAATAGAGCAAAACATTAAAACTTTGTGAATAAATTAAGCTCATAATGTTTGAAATATGTGTACATACACATAAGTTTTTTTTTACACTTCAGGGATATGATAACCTTTGCTAAGAGTGTAGAAGCTTGGATGAATGAAGATCAAAACAACATCATAGCAGTGCATTGTAAGGGAGGCAAGGGACGGACAGGCACCATGATCTGTACATGGCTGGTGCACTGTGGCTTGTTTGAACAGGCTCACGTAAGCATACTTTATATTTTGACCAATGAGGCTGACTTTTTTCATCAGTGGTGAAGAAGAGAGAGTGCGAGTGTTATCATTATCATCAGGAGAGTTGATACACATTAACAGACAGTTTTGTGCATTTATTGGGTATTTTTATGCCATTGGGCAATCTCAATATCGCAAGACTCTCGCCATGACCCTTCTCTCTCTCGGTCTCTCAAGAAATATATATATATATATATATATATTTAAGAAAATGTTCAGTGTCATTATGTTTGTATGCCATTATTTTGATTCAAGTTTTGATTTAAAAAATACATTTCCAGTATTGTTATTATACAGGGTTTCCTTCAGACCAAGACCATTAGGGACCATTCCCAGACCCTGTCGTACTAATTGTGGATCAATCTATTTCTGAGGCGATTCTTGCTAAATTACTCCAACTTCAGCGGCTTAAATGTCTGTCACGCCTACTGAAGCTGTTAGAGGGGAATCAATTATCGTTTAGCAGCTTCAGTAGGGGAGCCAGACATCTAAGCCGCTTAAGCTGAAAGCAGTTAAGCGAGAAACCCTG